ATTGAAAAATTAAGTATGAAAAAGAACAAAGGGCAATAACTCAAAAATTATAAAAGGTAGAGTTATCATTCTTGTGCACTGCACACCTCCTGAGTGAGATCTATGCACCTATGAAGTTTCATTTTGATATCTCAAAGGCTTTTTGAGTTATGCTCTGGACAAAAATTAATTTTGAAAAATAACAAAGGGCAATAACTCAAAAATAATGCAGGTAGAGTTATCATTCTTAAGCACTGCACTCCTCCTCAATGAGATCCATCCACCTTTGAAGTTTCAAGTTGATACCTCAAATACTTTTTGAGATAAGCTCTGGACAAAATAGCATAAAAAAAAACAAAGGGCAATAACTCAAAAATTGTATAGGGAAGAGTTATCATTCTTGCGCACAACATTCCTCCTCAATAAGATCTATCCACCTATGACATTTCATTTGATATCTCAAACACTTTTTGAATTATGCTCCCACTCAGGTGAAAAATTAGGTATGAAAAATAAACAAAGGGCAATAACTCAAAAATATGAAAAGGTAGAGTTATCATTCTTGTGCACTGCACACCTCCTGAGTGAGATCTATGCACCTATGAAGTTTCATGTTAATATCTCATAGGCTTTTGGAGTTATGCTCTGGACAAAAATCAATTTTGAAAAATAACAAAGGGCAATAACTCAAAAATCATGCAAGGTAGAGTTATCATTCTTGTGCACTGCACTCCTCCCAAATGAGGTCTATCCACCTATGAAGTTTCAAGTTGATAACTCAAATACTTTTAGAGATATGCTGCGGACAAAAATGTCGGACGGAAGGACGGACGGACGGACGGAAGGATGGAAGGTCGGACGGACGGAGACTATTTCTATATCCTCCGCCGAAATTTTTCGGCGGGGGATAATAAACTTTGTAAAATGTGGAAAGTTAAATATTGAAGTCTTATTCATGCATCTATCATGAATTATTTCCTGGACATGATTTTAAATCACCCAGGGGATGGTTTTAACCCTAATCACCCTCAATATCTTAAATTTGGACTTGTTCTTCTTTAAATCTGGACAAAACTAGAACTATCGCTGAATGCGATTCATACCCCCACCAATGTCCTTGACAGAAGACCACTTGGAAAGGTGGTTAAGGGAATAAAATGTGGCACAAATACATAAAAAGAAATTATCTCTGGTGAAAAAAAGACTAATTGTACAGGTAATAGTATAAATTTATATTATCAAATCATGTTCGAAACAGTTACAAATAACCTTTCATTTTCCCAATGTATTAAACATTTTATTTATAAGTCAATTTTTGACCTTCAAGTGTGGCCTTGACCTTAATCTGGCACAAGGTAAGATGGGTTTTGCATCATCACCCAGTTTGGTTGAACATTTGAGTAAAGTTTGAAGAAAATCCTTTCATTAGTATAGAATTTATTAAGTAGACACAATATATTGTCTAGTATTGGTTGTATGTAAATTTGAAGACTTAAAAAGGGGCATAACTTTTCAAAATGCAATACAGAGTAATGAAACTTGACCTGCATATCTTATTTGCCACACCTTATATATCTTTTAAGTTTCAAGCAAATGCCTGCGCTAGTTTCAGAATTATTCAAGTACATGTTAAAATTTAAGAACATTTTCTAAGTCAATTTTTGACTTTCAAGTGTGACCTTTACCTTTACCCGCACAAAGGTGACAATGGATTCTGCACATAACCTTGTTGAGTTGAAAATTTGAGTAAAGTTTGAAGAAAAATTCTTCCATTAGTATAGGATTTATAGAGCGGACACAACATGTTGGCAAATATTTGATTGCATGTAATTTGAAAGACTTAAAAAGGGGCATAACTTTGGTAAAATGCAATACAGAGTTATGAAACTTGAACGAACAGCATATCGGAATTGTGACCCTTCAAAAATATTTTTAAGTTTCAAGCAAATACCTTTTCTAGATTTAGAAATATTCAAAAAAATGTTAAAATTTAAGAATATTATCTAAGTCAATTTTTGACCTTAAAGTGTGACCTTGACCTTAGCCAGCAAAAGAGTGACATAAGTTCTTGCACATGCCCCTGTTGAGATGAACATTAGAGCCAAGATTGAAAGAAAAACTTTCAATTGGTTGTAGGACTTACAGAGCGGACACAACATACTGTGTAATATTTGATTGTTTGAATATTTGACCTTCATTGTGACCTTGACCTTGAGCTGGCACATGGGCAACAATGGGTTCTGCACATCCCCTTGTTGAGGTGAAGATTTGAGCCAAGTTTGAAGAAAATCTTTCAAGTAGTGTAGGACTTACAGAGCGGACACGACATACTGTGTAATATTTGATTGTTTGATATTTGACCTTCAATTGTGACCTTGACCTTGAGCTGACACATGGGCGACATGGGTTCTGCACATCTCCTGGTTGAGGTGAACATTTGAGCCAAGTTTGAAGAAAATCTTTCAAGTAGTGTAGGACTTACAGAGCGGACACGACATACTGTGTAATATTTGATAGTGTTTGAATATTTGACCTTCAATTGTGACCTTGACCTTGAACTGACACATGGGCAATATGGCTTCTGCACATCCCTTGTTGAGGTGAACATTTGAGCCAAGTTTGAAGAAAATCTTTCAAGTAGTGTAGGACTTACAGAGCGGACACGAAAATGGAGACGGACCGACGGACGGACGGACCGACCGACCGACGCGACAAAGCGAATCCATTATAGCCCCCCCCACATTTTGTGGTGGGGGTATAATTATATTAATTCATGAAAATTTTCCAAATAAGTACTGATCGACACAGTGCAGACTTGTTATGCTTGGTCACATGGAAATAATAAGTTTTTCTGCCCTAGGCTAAAGGTTAAAGTGCATAAAACTATACGGGTGATAATTATACTTTCAAAAAAAATAATCTTATAATCCACTTTTTTGCAATATTTATTAAAATAGTCAGTGTTAGACAAAATGTGATCTGTTATGTAATAGACAGAAAATAATGCATGGAATTAAACATTCCAAAAACAAACTTTCAACTGCAGTTTTAAGTACAATTATCATTACGATTTGCTCATGAGCCACCCTGAAATTTCAAGGCATTGTTCTTTTAAGTTTGGTTATTTAAAGGTATGATTTTATCTAAAAACAAACAAAATTAATATTCTACATTGTACCAACATCAGATTGCACAGAATTCTGAGCTTTATATACTTTAATTTAGAAATATTTTGAATCTTTCACCCTAAATGCGGCGTGGCCAAGTGGTTCACGCGTCAGACTAGTAATCTAATGATCGTAAGCTGCATGGGTTCAAAACCCGTCAGAGGCAAGTAGTTGTTTCCTTGAGCAAGAAACTACACTCATCGCTCAGTACTGGTTGGTTCCAGGAACAGACTATAAGCTTTAAGCTTCCTATATAATCAAACTAAAATATTAAGTTCTGTATAAAACAAGCTGCTGGAACTGAAGGAGACAAGCATTAAATTGCCACGAATAGAGCCAGGTCAGCCTCACAACACTGTAGTCTGACCAGGCCCTAAACTGTTGGCTGACAAATTTTTAAATTAACATCAAATTGAAAATAGTTCCAAAAGTTGCATTTAAGAAAGCCAGTAAGTTTAGGGTTAATTGCAAAACAGAATCTCCCCATCAGCATAATTGCTTTATCTTGTATGATGAATATGACTGATTAATGACAACGTTAAACAAGTGGTACAATGAAGGAAATCATTAAGGAAGCATAAAATTGTACGATGACAATCTTGCCGAACATGTCATTTACATTATCAGCACTTCAATATGTTTCAGTATCAGTCTTCCTCGGGAGAAAAATGGCAGAATACTCTATACAGACAGTTTCAAGAAAAATCACAGAAACACTCTTAGGCTGCCTAAAGTTCAGGGAAATAATGTGTAGGAATAACTCTGCCGATAGTTCCAACTTCATTTCTTGGGCTGTTGAAATGTTTTCATATTTAATACATGGGAAACATTAGCCAATGGAATTTCAGTTTTGTTGGATTTTCAGTCTGGGATTTAAGCCAGTCATTGACACAGATGTTGGGGTCAAGCATGGCAATATTCAAGATTTACTTGTGAATGAAAACCCAAAGTTTCCTTCTGTGGAGATGGAAGCATCTGTGTCATGAGATCCTGTTAAGTATGTGATCTTACACAAGATCACCATCAACTTTTTTATAAGTGCTCCTAACACTACACTTAATCTATTCCGGATCTTTCTACATTCATCTTTTTTTACTGCCATTATACTCAATGTGTCTCACTCAATTTGCTTTTCCTCTTCTATAAAATCTTTTTGTAAAATCTTCTTACCCTATTTTTTGTGGTGGTATAAGACAACAGTCACAGAACAATTACTTTTTGGGGCCATTTGTGGTTGAAGTCAGCTTCACTTCATATTTATGACCAGAAATAACACAAAGAAGAATTAAGGTCATTGCTTTATTGCATTTATTACCCCAACGGAAATGAATTACTATCAGCTTGGAAGAATTACATCTAACCCATATTACCCTGCCTGCTGAATATTGCAACTCTATTTCATGGGATGTGTAAGAAGTCCACTTTCAGATCATTTCTGTGACAAGTCAGTTATATTGTGGTAATTGATCATTTGTGGTTGTAAGTAGCTTACAATAAAAATCATGGTAAATCCTGCTTTGTCCTTGAGTTACTTCAGTCAAGAATGCAAAAAGAAATGCAATATAACAAAAAACAAAGTTCTAATGCTTGGTGACCACACTCAGGATACAAATGTATATATGAAATTAAAAAAATTATTGCGTCTCAAATTAAATATCCTCTTTATACCAAAAGCGAAAGAAAAAATACTTTGAGGTCACATGAAAAAGAAAATGGGAATCAGAAAATGTCTCTTACAAAGACACTTAGCAAGATCACTAATTAGCAACTTTACAGACTATAACCAGAGACATGTCTCTGCTATAACCAATAACTAACAGTTGAAAAAGCAACAACAAAAAGTTCCTACCTGGTCCACTGTCTGAATTCCTAAATTTTCCTGACACATCGTAATCTTTGTGTACAATTCTATCATCTGGATTTCCTACGACATCACCATTGCCTCTATTAGAATCTACCCTATTTCCATATTTAGTCACTTCCTTATTAACAAATGGATTAAAAGGTTGCACTATTTTATTAATTTTATTAATTGGATTTTGAAATCCGTCAAAAACTCCTCCTCCTCCTCCATTGTTGTTCTTTATATCACGTTTAATTTTGTCAGGACCTTTATCGCCATCTGAGCTGTCATTATCAGTACTTTGAAAACTTAAAAATATCACAATTAAAAACCACAATGTGGGAATTCCTAGTATGAGCTTAAATATAAGACTTCGCTTTCTCCTGAAGAAACTAGCCATTTTGTAGAATGTGTTAATTAAAGTAACAATTCCTATACAATATTCTTCAACTAAAGGGAAGTAATTCTTCTAAAAATATCACAAATAAGGGAATTAATAATTTTATCACAGAAGGAATGCTGTAGACTGGTTCCCCTCCTGTTTGGCTCTGTCACAGTGTCAGCAAAATCTGAAGCCTGGTCGAAGTCAACATGGTTCTACTTGGTATTGAGTCTGAAAAATATGAAGGGAAAAAAATTGTTATTTGACAGATAATAAGTCATGAAGAATACATTATTATATATAATGTGAAAGAATACCAATTTTTTTTTCAACTCTGAAACTGTTTATGTGAGGAATACAAAAATGCTGTCCAGACATCAGAATGCATTGAATTTGGAACTCCTGTTCACTCTTATTTTAACCCTTAACCTGCTGGAACCAAAAGTTATCAGCCATTGCCAACTGTATCCGTGCGCTAGGCCAGCCTTCATATCAATGCATCGTAACCAAGATCTATATATTGTTGGTAGCTCAATTTTTATGTTTTGACATTGAAATACCTTACAGCTTTGGATGGATTGCTCCAATGATAGCTGGGTAAATCCATTACACAAATAAAGCAGTTTTAATTAAAATCCAAGTGATGAACTTGAGCAGTCAACAGTAAAGAGTCTGACCAGAGTCTATACCTGACTTTAAACTGGTGATATAGTCTTATTAGCTCTATAAGCCATTCTTGCAAAAAGTCCTAAACTCCTTTCAACTTCCCACTAGCACTATACAGTTTTGATTTAGGAATAAAATGGCACAGCACATTTGCTAAAATTATTATTAATACATAAAATGCTTTTACATTGAATTTTATTTTCTGATGTAAATTTATAAACATCAAATAAGAAGCTGGGTGTATTTGTCATATATTCAAGCAATAAAAGACTTCAATACAACCTATACACATTAAAGATGCATTGACAATATTTTCACATTGCACAATTAATTCCCTCTTATTTCCTCTGGAAAAAAACACGCCAAAGTTGTCTACGAGATATTCTACCGGATATGTTATTAAGCTACTCAGCAACTTAGTGAGATTTTATCATCAATTGTTGAGAAATTGGAGAGAGAGAGAAAGACAAATACACTTGCTGATTCCCCTCTAGCTAATGCTATATTTTATAAGCCATATAAAGTACTCCTGTTTTGTTTGATGATGCCCTGCTGTCAATTCCGATCTTTTACGGAAAAAATCCCCAATTGGTCTCAATTCAAATACTGAAGATGCCTCAGAAATTTACTGAGTATAGATGGACGACGGACCTCATGGGGGGCTTAACGTCATAAATGTTTATTTCTAATTTCACCCCAAATACCAAGATAAGACAACAATTTGCTGGAGATTTGTCAAGAGGCTACCTCCAGGGAACCGGCTGATGCTTAAACAGCCGCTTAACGAAAATAAGTTCCGCAGAATTATGTCTATCGTAAACACATTGGCATGCAAACTAGGAGTAAAGAATTAATGAAATATTCTTATATACCAATGATATTGAGACTAAGACCACGATCAAAATGTATCGTGGGACAGAATATCTGCATAAAATGCTGAATTTAAAATTTACTAACCACACATGGTGCTTTGTTACAATTGAATATATATATATGTCTGTAACAGAAAACCAGGTCTAGGCAATGAAAACGGTAGGATCTTTTAAACAAATTAATAATGAAAAGTAGTCCTTCGAATTAGAATTTAATTTGTAGCAATATTATTACAGCAAAGTGTTGACAAAATTCAATATTTCATTCAAGCAATATATAACCGTATATAGATTATACAGTTCCTTATTCAAATTGACATAAAAACTAATAACAGCAAACTGATAAAAACATTTTCTAAATTGTTTAAACTGCTGCAATAAAATATCTGTGTATTGCAGACAAGCAAAAACTGTAAAAATATTGCATACTGAAATAAGTGCTTCAATTGATATAAAAATTTATTGAGAAAAAAAAATTCATGCTAAAATTGTTGCAATCTTATAACATACCAGTTATGGCTAATATTTAAGTTATTGTAATATAACAGGTACTTTAAACTGAAATATGATATTATGCATTTGTATGCATAATGTTTACTGAGGACACACATATTGTTTATTAAGTAATGAAGACATTAACTTGTTCCAAATATTTCAATTTCTATTAATTTAATAGTTGTTATCCGGAACTCTGCAAATATTGGTTTTTCCAAGCTCAATCCCCCTGTACCAACAAACTTTTGCCGCTATAGCTTCACAGTGCACTTAAGTCAACATGTTTTATTTTCAAAGTTTCAACAGTAAAATTTCCTAACATCTAAATATTATTATACTGTATTTGGATGACAAATATTCAAATTGACGGCATCAAACTCTGATGGAACTGATATTAACACATACTGGCATCACAGATATTGAGACAAATTAATACAATAATTTATTATTTATTGTATAATGCAAGTGGACAAGTTCCTAACATTCAAATTGATACAATATTATATTATTTTATTGTATTCAGGTGACAAATATTCAAAGTGATAGAATCCAACTCTCATGGATTGTCGACCAAACTGATATGTTATTTACACAACTGCATTACAGATATTGAGACAAAAGTAATACAATAATTAATAGCATAATACATGTGGACAATTTTCTAATATTTAAATTGATACAATATTATACTGTATTTCGATGACAAAATTGATGCAATAACTGTAATACATGTACTGCATAATCAAATTGAAATTATGTTAATTTAACACATATTGCATAACAGAATTATTCAAACTGACACAATAATTTCTTTGCATGAAGTAGATTTTCTGACATTAAAATTTAATTAAAATTGATACATTAAAATAATATTTGCATTCAGATATTTCATTAATAATCATCAAAATCAATGCAATAACAGGGAAAATTATTGCATGATGTTTTAAAGCATTGCAATTTTAAACTAAAATCTACATACATTAAGTATGATGCAATAATTTGTTCCATCCAGGTGATTCATCTGTTTATTATCATGAAATAACTAATTAATGAACCTAATATCCAGTATCTGCTCATGTGATAAATTTCAAAATCTGAAAATTGATGCAATTACTTTGTTCAAGTTCTTAAGGTGACAGCTGTTTTGGCATGAAATATAATAACCTACCAATGACAGCCGGGGACATTTATATTGAGGCAATATTAGTTGATCAATATGATATTGAACCATCTGTATAAATTAATCTCCATCCTTAACAGTAAATTCAATTATAAACAGATAAAAATACAAAAAAAATGAATAAAAAACATTCTTTTTACATTAGAGTTTTTCAATTTTTCTTCCCTATTCTAATACAATGATTAGCTGCATATGCCCAGCTTGTTGTTTTTGTTTGTTTTGTTGGGTTTTTTTAATGGCTGCTTGCCGACAATAAATAGTGATCAATGGCTGAGATGCATGCAAAAACGTAATAAATCTACTATGTAAATATAGGCTAAATGAATCATTCTCTTCTTTTCACTGTCTGATAGAATTCCTAGAAGCATCAATAGATTGGGGATATATGGCTGTTGTGACAAATCACTCAATTCATACCATTTTACCCCTAAACTAGATGAGATATATGGTTGTTTAAACTAAATGGGGATAATATAGCTGTTTAAACTACATGGGGATATATGGCTGTTTAAACTAAATGGGATATATGGCTGTTTAATGTAGCAAATAACCCTAAAATCCAACTTCTTCAGTCCATCTATGTTTAGATTTGGGATAATGACTGGCTTATAATCAGGAGTCAAGGAGTGAAAAAATCCCCACAAAATCAAACTCAGTCGATTCAGTTTTTAAGATTGGGGAAATATAAGGCTGTATAATAATGAATCCCCTTAAAATGAAACTCATTTATCCAATACTATAATTATCTTATAGATATAATGACTAAATAATGTGGAAATTTGGCTAAACAACGTGGAGATATGGCTTATATTAACAATGACAAATAACCATAAAAAATAATTTACAGCATCTTAATTAATACTTTAGATATAATGGGGGAGGGATTACATGGCTTTAGTATGAAAACATTCAACATTCAAACATTCAAGGATAACATGGCTTTAGTACGAAAACATTCAATATTCAAACATTCAAGTCATAGAGCAGTCCATTTGAATGAGGATAAGTAATGGCATATAGTAACAAGATCATGTAGTTGTAGATTGGGGATATGTACATGATGGTAAAGTGTGTTGTAACAAATTGAACAGCCTAAAATGTAACTCAAACAGTACATTAATCTTTACATGTGGAACATAATGGCCCCATGAACCAACTCATTTACATTTGGCTTTTCATAAAGCTATTAACATCTAAAAGTTTACGTTCAAATCTGTTCCCATGTAAATAGTCCATCATTATTTAACTGCATGTACTACATACCTTATTGTGCTAGTCCATCATTATTTAACTGCATGTACTACATACCTTATTGTGCTCATAGCCTAACTTAGTATATATCATTTCAGTTACAAATAAAACAAAGATCAGACATTTTTAATTTTATTACAAAAATCGTAAAACTGAATTGTCAGACCTTCACTTTTAAGTGAGTTTTAACTAATATGAAATACTGACTGCATCAAAGACAAAATAATATAACTCAAAGCCAAACTTAAATATCCCATAGAGGCCTTGAAAATAATGTAACTTTGTTATCTGCTTCAAATACCAAAAGAGATAAATATCTTTATATCGACCTTATAAATCTTGCAAAAGAAGCTAAACTTGTTATTGCATTGGAAAAACAAATTGTAAATCTTGCTGAAGAAGCTGAACTTTTTATTGCATTTAAAAAACAAAATGTAAATCTTGCTGTTCAAGAAGCTAATCTTTTTATTGCAGGATCGAGAATCACAAACATACCGTATTAGCCAGCTGAGATACCTTCCCCACATGAAAGAATCCAAAGTCCCTGGCGGGATTCAAACCTACAGCGGTAAGGGGCAAGTTGCTTGAAGTCAACAATCTTAATAATCAATTAGCCATGGATGCCCCTGCCTATATACCATTTTATGATTTCAAGGACATGATTGTGTGAAGTTTCAAGTATATGTATATACTTTCAGTGGTGAATGAGAAACGAAGCTGCCTGGAAAAAATGTTACAAAATAATTTAATAAGCTCTGAACTGCACC